TTTGGCCACTGGGCCTCTAGCTCTTTGCAGCGGCAATATCCAATAATTAGACACAAATCTAAGAGCCCACATATCTTCCGTGACTCCGATTCGCTGCAGCCCTGTGGCGGCAGAGCCCTCGGCTATGACATCATGCCCTCGCCACTCGATGTGACAGGATACCAGGGCACTGAGTTATCATCCCTAGTTTGTCGGGGACCTCAGAAGATTGGAACCGCTATCATCATTGAGTGCTATTCTTGCTCTCCATCGCAGCCCCGCGTCAAGCAGTCGAGCAACACACCACCCATGGATTACATACACCACATGGGCATCCGCAAGGGTTTACTACTTCACTTCTCATGTCTCGGCCTCGATCTTCCAGAACGGTGCTTCAAATTCAATCGATTTTCAGAGCCATCGAATCCCTGGAAATTACTCGACCCAGACAAATCCTCGAACCCGCCATGCTCCATCTCCATTTTAAGCATCCCTCACTCTGAAGAAAATGAGGCCTAAGGTCTGGGAGGAGGGAAAGAATTATCTTGAAAATCAAGAGCACAGAAGGCTCAGGGACTCAGAACAACAGGTGAGAGGGACTCCAACGGAGCAGGTCTCACTACGATGGGCATGGAAATAAGTGAGGCTTGTATTTCAGAAAGAAACATGAAGAAATACAATGTGAAAGGGGGCCTGAGTTGAAGGCCTAGGGTGCAATGGAACCGAAAAGAAAGAAGAAAGACCTTTTTGGGATGATCAGAATTTTGACACACTCCTCTCATCTCCGCCTTACCTGACTCATCCCCTGAACTCAAACATAGTTGATCAAACTTTTCATCCCACAAAGCTTGTGAGAATTCCAGGGGTTATGTCCTTATTTCAATAGAGCTAATAAAAGATTGAATTGCACTCTTTAACAATGAATAAACAACTGCATCATACAAACATTATTCCCGCTACTCTAACGGTAGCATGAGCAGAACATAGTGCAAATCTGCTAACAGCTAATGAATTTCTTGTAACTGTTAACAGATTGGCACTAAGAGCATCTTGAGTGGATTCTCCGTGAATGTCAGCTGGCTACTATGTTAGAGCCAACTAACAATAATAATGATAAATAAATTAACATCCTTTTATTCTTCATCTAATAATAATAAATCACATTTATATATACATATTTTTATCTGAAAAGAAGAAGCACATTAAAGACATATACAAAAATATATACATATATATGTTTTGTACTTCATTTGCTAATAGAATACGTGTAATTAATAATAAATGACCTCATAAAATACAGACAAACTCCTCAAGAACCACCTATGAACCATATCAGACAGGTTGCAACTGTTGTAATACCTGTAGAAGCTAAGGTGAGACGCCTAGAAGCCCAAAAAGGCCAATCCAGCATCATAACAACCAATTGGGATCTAATACTAAGCCCACATAACTACTAAAATTTTTTTGACAATAAACAAAGCGCCTAGAAACAGCAGAAAGCCCCTATTGGGATGAAAGTGTCAGAAGGGCTTGCCTGCAACCTGGAAACACGTAACCAGGAATATTAATTTGAGCCATAGCAATGCCAAACTGATCTATACTAAGACCAACCATAACTTTAAGTAATACAGACATGTAAGTAGCCCAATCAGGCGTAACCATGAGCTAAGAGGCTTAGCCTAGACCATAAATGGTGAAACCCTGGCTAGGCACTAGTAATACCTGGCCCAGCCTGGCTGATACAACACAACACAGCCAAGCCAGGCTTACCAGGCCAAAGAAATAGACTCGGACAAACTTGAAATTCAAGAAGTTCCACAGAATTAATTTATAAGCAGTCCATCCTTACCCAAAAATCAATTCCCCAGCTTCATACAATTTACACAGAAATCAGCACTGTTCAGTTCCACCTGTTATCAACCAGAAAGGAAACCAACAGTATTCATTTCTACTCGCTGAATCTCGCCTGAAACACCTCTTAACTCCCTGGAGCCCATAGAGAAGCCATTTTACTAGTAAGTAACTGACCCTTCTCTGTTGAAGCTCCCCCTTCCACTTCTTCCACTGGGAAAAGTCCCCTGCACTCATAGCAAGACACCTTTGAGAGGGATCTAAACAACCCCTGCTTGCACCCCTCTGAAAATTAATAATAAAATATTTTTATCTTGTTGTTTTTTCACCATTTCTTTCTCAAATTAAATATCCTTTGGATATCCCCCATAAAATCCTTTTGATACGTCCAGAACTGTCCACAGGAGTCCTCTCCATAAGTTCTTTTACTATCCTGCTCCTCCTGTAGCTAGAAGGAGTTATCCTTGGCATCAGGCAGGCTGACAGGAATGTTGAAAAATTGTAATTATTGTGTTTTTCAAAAAAACAACCCCATCTTGCCGTTCGGGGCACAGCTTCAGCACTGCCTTTGTCGAAAGGACGTGGACTGCGATTGGTAGAGCTCTCTTCGCAGCATGCTTCAGGGGCGGTCAATATGAACTCACCGGAAGGGCCTTCTTCCCATTCGGTTTGGAGCGTGCTCTCTTTCTCAGTTTCAAGCTGTCTTACTGGGGGCCACACTCAAGAAGAGGGTGCTTATCCCTAGCGTACCTCTGCGGAGGATGCACTCGGGGGCAATGATTAAATCATCAGTCCGCTTCTGGAATATCGCTTCCATCAAAAAAACTGTATCTCAGAAGTTAAGTGGGGGGCATGAGGGAGTCTGGTTGCAAGGATTGTGACACGACATTCAAGATGATCAAGGGGATCCATCGTCATCATCTTCTGCGTCTGGCTCATCGACAAGGAAGTACCTGAGCTCGTATGTGTTCTTGCTCGAGGCAATGACACTACAAGGAAGGCATGTACGCGATTGGTAAGTCATTGGGACGACACACCCAACGCAATTGTTGAAGCTTACCGGATATAGTTTCGGATTTGGTGCTTCTTCAGAAACTTTTTCGTCAGGTATTTCAAGTACCGTTTGGAGAATGGGATGGTCGAGGAGACCGAGAGCTTATGGGTACCTGGAGCGCAATTCATTAGAGAAGATCAGATCTACAATTTTCATCAGGGTTATGAGTGTCTAGGGAAAACCGACCCTCCGATTGGATCTTGATCTTATCCCCTAGTTGGCCCGCACGGCCGTCAACCTTGATCCGGTCGTGAAGGAATTTTTCGTAAGCGGGGCCATCGAAGACGCCATCACTAGCGGGCTTCTTGAAATCGACGAAGAATTTCTGGGTTCCGGTGGTCTTGGTCTAGGAGTGGTGTCGGTGATACGATAGCAGAAGAGGATGAAGAAGGATAATGGGGCTCAACCTCTACCGAGACGCTGAGGACAGCCATTCGGCAAAAGGCGAGAATGCTGTGGCATCAAACTTACAGTCATGTTGAACTTGGCGAAGAGCGGATCGGACTACGGTGGGTTGGCCTACACGCGTTTGTGCAAAGCTGAAGTGGAGGGAGACGGAGGATGGATGCGAGCCATTGACCCAACCGGTTCAACATAGCCAGTCGCGGACTGGTGAGAGAGACAACCTGTGGTTAGGGCAAACCCACTAGAAGCATCTCACTCGGCGGTCGAGCGCGGACAGGAGCCATCCGCCCCAGACCGATCTTTGTCCCGAATGACCGAATTGAATTAGCCCGGGGGTTCGAGGGCTGGGAACCATGAGACTAGGCTCCAGATCGTTACATTGGGGCGCCATCTTCGACAAGAAAAAAGCATGATTTTCTCAACCAAACAGCTAGCTTCCCCCCCCCCTTTTAGCTTTGGCAACCCAACTCGCTGGTCAGGGTTTATTCTTGACCAGAAACCGACTTTTTCTGAACAGGTTCAACGAGTCAAAAACATCGGCAACTTATCAGTCCAACAACTCAGTAGGATTGTGAGATCGACTTATGGCCTAAACCCCGGCCTGACGGGGAGGCTGGTAATAGCTGTGGTGTACTCCAGGGTACTATTTGGCGGCATGGTGTGGACACCACACGGAACGCCAAAGGGGTGAAAGAGATACTTGATAGCAATCACTATCAAGCAGGCAGACTGATCACGGGTCATTTCAAACAAACACCTTTGGTGTTCATTAAAAAGGGATACGGACTGAGGTCCCTAACCGCAGTCCATTTAAAGAACACTCACTCTTATCTTCTCAAGGCTTTAACTTACACCCCTTGTCCCACCCTGTCCATCCCATCCTGCGATCAGAGCTAACCGATAGAAAGCCTTCATTCCCTAGTATCTTACACAACATGCTTCTCCCCAGACAGCCTTATAGGTTCTTAGATGAACCCCTCGAGACAATCCTCCCCAGCCCAATCCCACCTTGGATAACTACGGTTTCGGAGGTTATTAACCTGGGGAAGAGACGTACTGATGTCTTAGAGCTCATTTCAAAATAGGTCAAACAGGAAAGGGAACGGAATGCCCTTGCCATCTTCACAGATGGATTGTGGATTCCACAGGAAGCGGCCGGTGCTGCTGCGGTTGTACACGGCACAAATCACAAGTCGGCGGTGGCGCTGCCACACCACGAGGTAATCACAAATTATGAAACCAAGCTGATCGGCATCCGCCTTGTGATCAGATTAGCGCAAGACTTCGGTAGCTCCCCGCATGCACATAGCATTGAAGGGGTGGCCATTTTCAGTGATAACCAAGGCGCAATGATGAATACTGCTTACCCAGTTGGATGCGAGTCAGGGAAATCTCTCGCGTTAGCTAATTTTTTTGATTGTAAAACTTTAGGTACCCCTGTTTGCTTGTACTGGATCCCGGGCCACGAGGGCCTGGAGTCCAATGAAAAGGACAACATGCTAGCAAAGGAAGCAGCACAAAGCAAGCCATAGAGGAATCGTAAGAGTCTCACTCGAGCTCCACCTCCTGCTAGCCTCTCGAAACTCAGGCAAAGGTGTAGGCAGAATCTTACAGGAAGAGGAGGAAGATCAGGTTTCTAGGGAGTAACAGAAACAGTTTGGGTTCTGACAGGATTCCATGGCAGTCATGTTGAACAAGTGAAAAGGAAGGTTTTGTACTGTGGGACTTGAACCCACAACCTCAGGATTCATGAGTGATGCTCTAACCATTAAGCTAAGTACACATTGCTAATCCTCCAATGCTCTCAGGAAGTCTCACATGGATGTGTTAGCAAATGTGTATCAAGCAGTGCCTAGTTTGACGCTTCAACAAGTTTTCCCGGCCTTGGATAAACTTGAGAGACAATTGACCACCATCATGCATCAAATGAGGGTGAATTGTTGTAACCCACTAGCTGGGTTAAGTTAGGGCTCACCTAGACCCTCCAATTGCATGTATATAAACTATTAGCACACTTCACATACGCGCAATGTTATAATATTTTGCTTTCTCATTCCTGTTCCACATCACAAATCAGGCCCTGCTAAGAGATTTCCTATTTGAAACTTAAGCTGTAATAGATCCCATATGCCCAACATGTGGGGTCTGGGAGACCGCTGTGGAAAGAAAAACTGACTCAGGAGGTAACTGAGTGTCCTTCTCCGATGTGTGTCAAGTACCCTTTGGTTTCACTGCGGAAAACTTCTAGATTGGTGAGTATCTTTCTTTAAACCCAATAAC